CCGCTTTACCCTTACCTCCTTATTCTTTTAAGATATATTTCTTTCAATTATATTTCACCCTCTTCGCTTCGATTGGAACCAACTCGGAAAGGTGACATCGGGCACCAAACAGTATCTTGAATCGACATCTGTCGTCAAGTTATTGGATATGACAGTCGAGTTTGTGATGGAAAAGCCGGGAGTAATGTCACTGAATCAGCTGAGTGAGTATCCCCGAACACTCAAAAGATACCATTCCTCACCTTTGTGTCCTCCAGCACGCACAACAAGGATCAGACGTCAGGCAAAAGGCCCACCTGCAGTTTCACCATACTTTGTGGTGCGGAAGGAAGGATGGGCTATCATAGAGCAGAAGCTTTTAGGACCAAGAGCAGAAGGTCTCAATGTGTTTGTTATCAGTGGAATGGGAGGATGTGGAAAGACTCAAATGGTGTCATATTTTGTGCCGAAGCATCATCAAAAGTGAGTTCTACCACATCTCAAGATACATGATCTAACTGGAGAAGCTTCAAACATATATTCTTTGTGGATGCAAGCTCAGAATCAAGTATCAAAGCAGACCTACGGAATGCAATTCGATTGCTAGATGGACACCAGCAAGACTCAGAACATGAAGCCCTTTTATTTCTCCAATCTCATTCAGACTCACTACTCATATTCGATAATGCCGACAATCCAAAGGTTGAACTTGTTCCATTCTTTCCAAGACTGTACAGAGGAATCATCCTGATCACAACTCGAGTCCAAACATTGAGGTCCCTCTCAACTCTACATCACCTTGAGCTTGGCCCAATGTCATATGATGAGGCAATTGGGACCCTAGTGAAAGCATCTGGACAAACTCTTCCCCTTGCACCCAATGATGTCCAATATGTTGATCTCCTCATCAAAGAACTAGGGTGCCTTGCACTTGCACTTGTCCAAGCTGGTATTTATATCGTCAATATTTCGTCAGTCAAGGCCACCAACTCATGTGACTCTGTATTTGGACATTATCTGGGCCTATTTCGACGAGAACGAGCAATATTGATGCGCAAAGAAGGGACTAAATCATTGGACCAGTATAAACGAGGTGTATATCCCACACTTGATCTATCATATAGCCTTCTTTCTCCATCTTGCAGAGATTTCTTGCATCTGTGCTCTCAGCTTCACTACACCAATATTTCACTTGCAATGGTACTAGCTTCCATGGAGAGGAAGTTTGAGGATCAGTATCACTACTTGGAACGTCATGAGAGTCACAAGGAAGTTCATAAAAGGCTGCATGCACTACTCTGTTCCAATGGAGGACAAAATGAACTACATGTGCATGACATGATACAATCCCTGGCATCCCTATCATTAGTCCAGACATCTATGGTCAATAATACAATTCTACTCCGGTTCCATCCACTCATACATTCATGGGCTCATGAAATGTTGCCAGCAAGTTCAAAATCAATGTATAACCAAATGGCAATCACACTAGTGTCTACATGTAAAGCTGCTCTTTCACCAGCACATGTACAATATCTTCCATTACATATGGTGAGATTGGTAGACACAAACAAACTGAGGGATCTACATGCAAGAGATATGATCCAATTTGGAAAAGTCCTTGGGGATTATGGGTTTGGGAGAGTAGCAATAGAATTACATGAGGAGGCTGTCAAGAGGATTGAAATGGAAGCTGGAAGAAATGACAATCAGATAATCAGTGGGAGTACATTTTTGGGATCAGCATATGTCCAAGCAGGGAGGTTGAAGGAGGCAGAGAAGGTAGAGGTGAAAGTACTGGAAATGCAACATAAGAAACTGGGAGAGTGGCATCCAGATACAATTTTGGCCTCCAACAATCTTGCAGACACCTACTATCACCTTGGTAAGCTAAAGGAGGCTGAGGAGCTGCAAATCAAGGTATTGGAGATGCGGAAGGAGATACTAGGGGAGCAGCATCCAGATACAATCAAAGCCTCCAACAATCTTGCAAACACCTACTGTGATCTTGGCAAGCTAAAGGAGGCTGAGGAGCTGCAAATCAAGGTATTGGAGATGCGGCAGGAGATACTAGGGGAGCAGCATCCACATACAATCCAAGCCTCCAACAATCTAGCCATCACTTACCAACAACTTGGAAGGCTAATAGAGGCCAAAGAACTCTGCCAAAAGGCATATGAACCTGCAAGCATTGTACTGGGAGAGAATCATCCAACCACTGTCTGGATCAATAAGACTTTGGTTAGCATTCAAGCTGATATCAGACAATCAAGTCAAAGGAAGTCAAGGAAAAGGAAAAGATCAAGCACTCTTGACTCCCCATAGTAAGCATCATTCACAGGACATTCATTCTCCTTGACTCGATAATAGGATGTCCTTAGGCTCACTCTATGCAGGTGGTTCTATGATTTATACTCATTCTAATGCAATGGATATTCAAATTTTATGTACCTCTTTAGGTCATTCTTCTCCAAAAGTCATGCAGACATGGCCTGAAGCTTTGACAGGCTCTCTTCATTCATCTAGCCATATCTTGTACCAGACCAATCAAAATATACTCATTCAGAACTTCATCTGAGTTTCATATTTTGAGCCCAATATACCAGCACCTTCATCAGAAAATCACATCCTCTTATCAAGGCAACATGCCCACATGGATTGACCACAGACCATAAGGTCAAGAGACTCGAGTCAGCTCCATAACTCGATCCTCACAAACACACACAAAGCTATTTGAGTTCAATATGTTGATTGAATCGACCAGAATAAGTACATATTTGTGACAATACGATAGACGACATGGCAGTAGGGGTGTTGCTATAGTGGCAGTGAGGACGTTGACAGAGGATAGGTAGCTCGACATGAATAAACAAGAGGGAAGCGAGTTTGTCCAATCGAAGCGAAGAGGGTGAAATATAATTGAAAGAAATATATCTTAAAAGAATAAGGAGGTAAGGGTAAAGCGG